GCAGTCTTACTACTTTTCTGTCGTTCTCTATTGGTGGGGAAATTATTTGCATCTTCCTTCTCTGACAGGTTCTGCGGATTTTACTGGCTATGAAATATGTTGTTGTTATTGTTGTTAATAGTTATGGAGTCAATTCCAACTCGTGGCTACCCCGGGTGTGCATAGAAGAATGTGCTCCACAGGGTTTTCAAGAAACCACCCACCCAGTCTGCCTTCTGAGGAGCCTCTGAAACTACAGACCACGCTCACCGCCAGGGAGTGACTCTTACTTCAAAAGAGCCTCTGTGGGTTACTGAAACGAACTCTTCACGCAGAAAGCCTCATCCTGCTCCCCTGGGGCAGCCGGCCGTTTCGAACTGCAAACTGTTGGGTTATCAGCCCAACTCATAACCCACTACACCACCAGGGCTCCTTGAGGAGCCTGTAAGTGGGCTCAGACAGACCATCTTTGAGCTAGTAGTTGGACACTGAATCATCTGTGGCACTCAGGATTTCCGATGTGAAATTTTTATCTAGATAAAAAAAATTTACTCCAGATTAAAACCAGTTTCAGCCTGCCTCAGACTTACACTCAGAGTAAATGCCCTCTTTGGAAAAGGCTGAGAGGGCTGGTAAATTGGAGTTCTGTAATCAAGTCTCATTTCTGTGACGTTGGGCAAGTCACACACTGAACTTCATTCAAGTTCATCTTTACAAATTTAAAAGTTTATGCCATATCATCTCTGACAGCCTTTCTTACTTGTAAATAACTATGTCTAGGGACTGACTTTCACTGTCGGTGTGGGCACAAATTATATTTACCTTTAAACTATTTCTTGTAGTGTTTTATTTTAACTACTGTAATATATGAAGGGGAAACAATTGCCCCAGCAATCCCCCTACTGAGCATATACCCAGAAAAGGCAAAAGACAAACCACAGCCAGACATCAGTGCTCCAATGTTCATCACAGCACAGTTCACAATCGCAAGGAGTTGGAAACAACCCAAATTTCCTTTCCATCAACAGACAAGTGGATTAAAAAACGGTGGTACATACATTCAATGGAGTACTATACAACGGGGTACTACATCCCTAATAAGCAGTGATGAATGTATGAAGCGCATCTCTGCATGGGAAGAACCGGAGGAAATTATGCTAAGCGAAGTTAGTCAAGCACAAATGAACAAGTACAACATGAGTCCACTGAGGTAGGCTTAAAAATGCAAAAGGGGCATAGGGGGAAAGCTACTGCATACATATATTTCTGGGGTGAGGTCCAGGTATTATGGCAAGGGCCAGACCCAATCCAGGGATACATATGGCAGCCAACTAAAAAGGAGAGGAAAAGAAAGAGAAAAAAAAA